CCACCACTAACTCCACGCACGAAATCGTTACCGACACGGGTGTTGATCGTGTGGGAAAGACCAAGCATCGCCATGACCACGTCTCTCATATGCTCAGCGTATTGTTGTCGGCTGACACCTTCGAGGCGATTTCGGGGAGCCCTGGCCAATGCGGCAAATTGGAGCGTGTCACCAACAGTCAGCTGCGGGAAGTGAACGTCTGTCTCCGCGTTGTAGAGGGCTTCGCCTCGGAAGGCGTTGTGCATCTCCTTCGCAGGGATACCTAAAGGGAAGCACCCACTGTAAGCACTCATGAGGCCACCAGACGCGTGCTGCGAGGAGGAAACTTACCCTGGTAGTTGAGCATCGATTCCTCCGACATCTCTATACCATTCATCTCCCCAGAGATCGTCTTGAGGAAGGTCGTGCACCCCGAGCCGGGTCTGCCAAGTACAATGAGCATCTCTCCTGACTTGACAAGCCCATCAAACTCGCGCAAAATATGAATCTTCTGCATCTTGGCACCCATCAGCTTTCGAATAAGGGTACCAAATTCCAGAAGTGAATTGAGAACGTCTTTCTGGTAGTCAGTGGGCGAGCCGTAACCGTGTACACTCAAGTTCTTGAAAGCCACGCCTGCAGTCCTGTCCGGGTAGCGCTCAGGATCACGCGTGCGAATGGCGAGGAGCATCTTAATCCAATCTCTGACTTGGAAATTGGGACTGTGTGGATTCAGCTTCGATTCCGGGTCAGTGGTGACAAAGGGGTTCTCAAGGTCGGCCTTGGTTGAGTAGCGAGTGGACTGTCGAGTAAGCCGGCGTGCGAGATCACCCACACGAGCCTCCATCTTGTCTTCCCGTCCTTGAAGCGTCGCATCATCTTCGCTGGCTTCCTGGTCAAACTCCTTTGGTCCCGAAGCTGGATCGTCATGGTAGGCCGCCCCGCCATTTTGCGGCAGGTTGTGGCTGACCACCTCTTGCGCCCGCCCGGCGTTGGTGCTGGTAGTAGGGACGAACGACATATTAAGAGGGGATTTTGTTCACAAAAATCTTAGCATGAAACGAGTAAGCTTGAAAACAATTAAAAAAGCGAAAACAAAGTAAAGGGTGCCTGACAGTGTGGTGCAGGCCCTTGACGTCCGATCAGCCTACGGAAGGCGCTGGGTCCTTCCAAGGCTTCTAGATTGACAGAGAAGAAGGTTTTGGTCACAAATACCGAAAGACCGCTTGAAAGACACCAATTCCAGAGCAAAGGTGAGGAGCCTGCGAAGATTGTGCTAGATATACATAGTTGATGGACCGCGCGGATTCTAGAACGACCCGCTTGCGGAGCGTTGAGAATCCGATCGTATTTGCTCATCGTGCAGGGCGAACACCCGGGGGCCCGAACAAGATTGTATAAGCAAGACATAAATTATCCAAATTGTGACACATGTTGCAAATGAGAAGTACCAGCTAGGCGTCAGCAGTGAGTGTCCGGCATCCGAGCCAACCAAAGCGTGTAAGACCCAGAGTCAGGGGGGTGGAGACCAGTCCCTGAGCCCGAGTCAAAAATTGAGTGAACGTCCGGGAGCCGAAAGAAGCGTGGATGGATCTAGCTGGACCCACGGAGCCATTATCAAAAGTCAATCAATGGGCTGAAGTCTCGGTGTGTCGGGAGTCAGACGAACGACAACACCATAACCCAACCATCACTGAGGCGGCCTTTGCGAGCAGTTCTGTATCAGGGAAAAGATGCAGAGCATGATGATTGTGGTCAAAGCGCTGTCCGAAGGCGAAATTTAAGGAATGATCGGGCTGGGATGAGAATAGAGATGAGGGGATGAGGGACGAGGGATGAGGGACGAGGGATGAGGCAAGTGGAGAAGCAAAAGATGATCGGCAGGCTAACGGTCCGGAGAAGCTGCTGTATTGTTACATCTCCAATACCTACCGCCCTCACGATTCTGCCCAACATCCGGCCTCCGAAGCCCCGAATAGAGCTTAGCTCATTTATATTTGCCCTGGCCTATTGGACAGACCTCTCTCAGTGCAGACTTTGTCGTGGTACGTGAAACTTTTCGGTACGGGTTATACGCAGCTCTCCATCCTGTCCAGCCATCAGGGGTATTAAAGGTATTAAAGCTGATAAGTTAGAGGTGGAGTCAAGTTGATTGAGCCTACTTACCTAGTAGCCACGTACTGTAACTCAATAAGGTAGTTAGCCAGTCCAGTGACCGTGGACTGTCATTCCTGCTACCTTCTCCCAACCATGCTCAACGCACACCATGACCGGCCTTCCTCCTCATCTTCATCATCATCATCATCATCCATGTCCAACACGCGAGAGTCGCCTCTCTCGCAGTCACGCCACCAACATAATGACATCCTCAAGAAGCGGAAGGTATGCGTGGTCATGATTCATTACTAGCTATCTTATATTCTGATAGACGACGAACCAGGCGTGTGAAGCATGTCGCCGCAGCAAAACCAAATGCGATTCCTCCATGAACTCCAGGTGCTCCCGCTGCGAGAAGATGGGTATCTCGTGCACTAGAAACGAGCAGAGATACAGAACCATCCTGCGACGGTGAGTGAGCCCCGCGCATCATCTCCCAGGGAATCCATTCACTAATTGGTCTTATGAAGAGAGGCAATGATCAACCACCTCGAAGGAAAGCTAGAGAGGCTCGAGACCCATCTCAGTAGCATCTTCGGTGCGGGGGAGATCAGTTCTATGCCACACACGCCTCCTGATGACCCCAATCCACCTGTTTCGGCACCCAACCATCTCGGGTTCGATCCTCTGGATGATTTAGATATTGAAGACTTTTTGGATCAACAGGAGCCAGTCTCTGCAAGCATACCCTCGGAGAGTGTTGTTTGTTCCGTGCGCGTTGAGAGCGGAGTGGGTCTGCATCAAGAGAAACCCCCGTGCTTTTACATCCCAAGGTGCATAAGCAACACAGGTGCGGGATGTAAGTCAGACCGCAACCTGATATGCCTCCTTCGTCTGACTCTGGCACAGGTTTCTCGGTCTTAACAAATGAAGGGTTAGACTGGATATCACAAAGAGCGGATCCAAGTCATCTTGATCATCTTCTAGGGAGTGTGGCCTCCGAACCTCAGTTAAGCTCCTTGTTGCCACCCAGAAAGCTATTTTGCCCGTTCCCACGGGCAGAGCTTTTGAAGCAGCTCCTACATGACTACATGGAGTACTTCAACCTTACCCTGCCGATATTCACTCAGGCAGACGTTGACGCTCTGTTTGCTGGCAACTACACGGATCCGCAGGTGCACGGCCCAGGCCAGTGGGCCAGCCTTCATGTCATCTTGGCTGTCGCCTACATGCTTCCATCCACAGCAGGTCGGCCTGATCATCAGACTAGCGCGCTCTTTATGAAGGGTGCCTTGCAGGCCATTAATGAAATTCTACTAGCACCCCCTGATCTCTGGGCATGCAAATCTACATTAGTGATGGCTGTTCTGTTTTTGTCATTGTCTGCTGCTCACCCTTGCAGTTCGCTTATTGCCATTGCTGTGCAAATCTGCAACCAATTAGATCTAGGCAATTCGGAAGCCCTGCGATGTTCTGTCGAAGAAAGGCAGAGTCGAGATTTGCTCTTCTGGATGGTCTGTGCAATGGATAATGAGTATATGCGACAAGTCCTCTACTCTTGGTGGCTGTTCTGACTGTTACAGGATATCTTATCGATTCGGGGTCCCCCCAGCACAGAAAGAAGACATAGTTGGGGAGGCGTTGCACATCAGTTCTCCCTCAAGCGCTTACAGCGTACCAATACGGAACGACTCGGATACCTTCAATCTCTTCCATCCCACTGCCGAGCTTGTGCAAATCAGGAGCCAGATTGTTCGACAGTTGTATCTAGCCTCCGCGGTCAACAAACCTTTCGACCAGTTACTGGCTCTGACGGGTGATTTCGACCAAAAGCTGCAGGCGTGGTTGCGAAAACTTCCTCGCGAACTGCAGCCTGGGTCCGGAGCATCCCCACCATTCCGAAAAATGCCCGTGTTCCCGACTCTTCTGTTTATTCATTACGCCTATTACGACTGCATGATTGCCATCCACTCTTTGGTGGCCATGAGAGAAGTCAACACTGCGCAGGATCTTCTTGGCGGGCTCAGCCTTTCCGCCTCACCCGGATTTGCCGACAACCCTCGGGTCCTGCTTTCCACGTCGCTCATGTCTAAGGCTGCAAGAGCATCCCTCGCCTTGTTGAAATACCTACCACGGGATGATATAAATCTCGGGTGAGACCAAGCTGCTTCTCTCAAGATCCCACAGTTTCTGACTTACCATCAGTATCGCCTATCACTACCCTTCTGTCGCGATGAAAACGCTCGCTTCAAGCATTATACGCAACCCGCGGCCCGCCTCGGAGATACATAACCTGAAAATGCTCCACCAAGCAGAATCGTATCTATCGCAAACTGCTCGCAATTCGACCCACGAAGCAATCCGGCGCTTGTCCAAGGCTTGCGCGGACTGCTGCGCGGTCGCTCAACGGGCCATCGATGCTGCATAATTCGCCTTCAATGGTGTTCCATACGGTAACCAACGAATACTCTCCAGGCAACATCAAGGCTCGAGTTTCAACTCGGTCTGTCTCAAGCTGATACAAATCCCGACCGTAGAGACTCATCGTGTCCTTGATCTACCGGCAAGAGATACATCAAGCGGAACATTGAACACATACACGAGCGCACAATTTCTGGCTCAGTCAACCAACCTACCGCTGGCGTCATCTCACTCTATCCCTTGATTCGAACAATACAAAACCATGAATCACCGGGCGCAAGGGGCTCACTGACACCGGATTTTCGAATGGCTGTGTCTCAGCTCCACATGCCAGGGACGGCGTCTGCCTAGCTTTAAGCTTCTTCCTTCCTCGTTTCCTGCTCCTCGTCCGGCGAGGGTAAATCCCCCGGCACAACAGCGGACATAAAAACGCTCCCAGGTCCCGTCTTCAGAATGCGTCCTGATTTACTTCCTTTCCCACCGAGTCATACGAAACCACCAAAATGAAATTCACACTTCCTGCTTTTCTTCTCCTCGCTGCGGTAGCTACGGCCGAGTCCGTCCTCGACTATAGCGACGGTCTCCCGCTCTGCTGCAGCAACACGGACAAGATCGAGGAAGCGGGCGACGACGTCATCCAGCAAGTGACCAGTGCTTTTGTCGGAGCGGGCGGTGGTGCCTGGGATCTGGGTGATCGGGTTGCGGGTGAATGTACGAGTCCTCACTGGGACAAGGGATGAGATTGGAATAGGTTACTTACAAACCGACTAGGCATCCCCGCCTTTCCTACGGACTGGAGCTACGAGCGCGAGAACTGTACGGACGGGTTGAAGCCGGTCTATTGCAAGAAGCACGCTCACTGGACTGTAAGTCTAGTTTCCTCTCCTGCTTTGGGGGATGACAGCTAATGGATCCTATCTGTTTCTCTCAGTTGACCCTGAACGGAACATCGGTCTCGAGGAACGTACACGGGCAGTGCCATCTGTAGGGGATATATATGTACGGTGCTTGGCCGAGCCCTTGCATTGGAGGAATGTGAATAAGACACTTACAAATATCACGAGATATGAGACTCTCAAATTGACTTGCACTGTGGAAAGTCAAGGCCTCCATACTGTTGTGAAATGGTCATGTAGATTTTCGGCTGTCAGTGGGATGCAAGACAAATAGCAGCTTGTTTACGGGACAGTCACCACCCTAGTTCTGTCCTCGTCATCACCTTTGCTCTCACATCTGAAGGATCCCATTGGTGTGCCCCTTGCCTAGCCGATGATCCTTGGCGAGTTTCCCAGTACGAGGTGAAATACAGAACCTCCCTGGCCTTGCCCTGAACGTGGGGGATCATGGATTGTTGACGGCAGCCGATAAAGGAGTCGTCGCTGGCCAATCAGCGGCCGACCAGAGATAAGATAAGCAGGCCGACAGCGGATTCCATCGTCCAATCAGACCGCGTTCATTGAGCTACCAGATAAGCCCAAAGCCCAGCATCCATATTTCCATCTGCTTTTCGTGACTGCAGTCGATGTTTTCTCTTATGTGTCTGTTTACGTCGCTTCCAACAAAGGATCAAGCATCCTTAGGTGCTCACGGTTCTGTCAGGCGAGCGTCGCGGTGATTCGCCCAGCCCAATTGCCGAATAGCCGATCTGACGCCAAGCAGCGATCTGCTTTGCGGGGGTGGGGTAAAGTACCTACTAGGTAGTACTCCAGTACAAGCCAGCGTTAAATACTCTCGCTCCCCCAGATATCTTTCCCACTGGCAACACCAGCCTCCTGTCTCGGGAGTGACTGCACCTGCTCAGCATCGAGTACAATACACTATGTCGGTCGCTCATTCTACCAGACCGGTCCCACCCTATCAGCCCTTCCAATGTTCCATCTGCCAGAGCCGCTTCACCAGACATGAAAACCTCAAGCGCCATGCTGCCCTGCACTCGCGTTCCTCGGGTGAAGTCTCGTTGGCCTGTGGCCATTGCAGCGCGACCTTCTCGCGTCCGGACTTGCGCAATCGGCATATGAAGCGGAAGCACCCCGAGCACCACGAGAGACGGACAGCCAAGAGAAGAAACTCGCAAAATAAAGGTGACCAGTCATGCTCGATTCATCAGCTCCAGCTGGCTGGCGACGAATACGAGACGGCGAGGACGAGCCGACGTCGGCCCTCGGCACGATCCTTCCGGAGGAGTCCGAGTCACGCCGCGCTGGAGGAGGTTTTTGAACTCGACTGGAATCTATTACCAGAACCACCAGCTTTTGCCCATGCAGATTCTCCCACCTCCAGCAATAAATCACCCGGTGTATCGGACTCTCCGGCTCGATCTCCATCCAGTACCTCGCTGCCCGTACAAGACGATTGGTTTCCGTCCGACCTGCAGATCCGTCGGGGATGCGATCTCTTCTTTAACCATGTCTCCTGCTTTCTCCCTTTCCTGCATCAAGCAACTTTCGATACTACGCAGGTATCCGCACATCTCATCCTGAGTATTCTCAGTCTCTCCTACCAATATGGTGACGATCCGGAACGAGAGGACGAATCCGGGTCTGGCGCCACCCTGTCGGTGCAATGCTTCCATCGTGCTCGTGCTCTCATTCCCAGCCATGAAGACGACGCCGACGACACCATCGAGATCACTTCGCACCTGATCACCATCCAATCCTACCTCCTCCTCCAGATCTGCGCCATGATGTATCTCTGCGGCGAGAGCTCGACCCAAGGCCTCAAGATGCACACTGCAATGATCTCCCTCGCCCGGTCCGCAGGCCTCATGCAACCAACCCCGACCTCCTCTTTAGCCTCAACCTCCGACCTCGACTCCCTCTGGCACGCCTTCATCCACGCCGAATCGCACAAGCGAACCATCTTTGCCGTCCACCAGATCGATGCCCTGTATTACCAACTCCTTTCCATCCCACGCTGCATCTCCCACCTGGAAATCAAGCACGACCTCCCCTGCCCCGAGAACCAGTGGTCCGCCTCGACGAGCGCCGAATGGGCCCATCTGCAACTCACCTCTCGCTCCGCCACCACCGCCAAAACCCCCACGCTGCAGTATGCCGACGCAATCCGACATTTCTTATCCCCCACCGCCGACGTCCAACCCATCGCCCCCTTCGACCCCTACGGCGCCATCAACATCGCGCAGTTCCTCATCTCCAGCGCCCGCGAGATCTCTGGCTGGTCCACGATGACGGGGATGTTGAGCATGGAGCGGTTCGGGGCGCTGCGCTCGTCCCTCGCAGCGCTGGGTCCATACCTCCGTCCGGAGGATGATCTCGTTTCTACGGCAGAAGGCATGCCCAGAGCGACCAGTGTCCGCACCATCACCTGTGCCGCAACGTGGGAAACGGCCATGCTCGAGCTCCAGATGTGGTCTCCGTTGCACACGGGGGGCATCGTCGGGGCGAGCATCGACACGTGGCTGCAGCAGTCGACGCGGCTGGCGCCGACCTCGTGCGAGGTGCTGTGCGAGGTGGACACGGTGGTGCAGGCGGTGCAGCCGCACGTGGACTGGTTTCTGGGGTACTTGGACCGGTGCGCGGCCCTGCAGGCGGAGGCGCCGTGGGTGTTGCTGTACGCGTACCAGGCGTTCTTGGTGGCGTGGCAGCTGGTGCGGTGGGGGGTGCCGGGGGCGATGGGGGTGGTCGGGGTGGCGGATGGTGACGGGGAGGGGGCGCTGCACTGGGCCAGGACGGTGTTTGGGCGGCGTGAACGGTGGCAGATAGGGCGGTTGATCAAAAGATGTCTGGACGAGCTGGGGAGGGGGTGTAGTTGAAAACTACCTTCCTGCCTTCAAACCTACTGCCCTCCCTCCCTCCCCCCTAAGCAGAACACAAGATCCTTCTAAACCAAACCGGACATGAATTGAATATGTACAACCTTTTACCCCACCTCTAACCCCCCCAACAATCCACCCTCAAACTTCCCAATCCATCCCCGAAACTAAGACCTCGCAACCTCCAACTCAGCAATATACCAATTCTGCACCGCCTTCGTATCCCCCGTCATAGCCACAGTATCATACATGCCCCTCGCCTCCTTGGCCAACGCCCCATTATTAACCATCCTGCCCACCCACTTCCCATACTTCCTCCCCGCCTCCACAATCTTATTAATCGCCTCCACAAACACCGGCTCATCCCCACGCGCAGGAACATACCCCAACAGCGCCTGCGCGAGATCATTCGGCCCAATAAACACCAAATCCACCCCGGGCACCGCACAAATCTCCTCGACATTCTCGACCCCCTCCTTCGTCTCGATCTGCACCATGGTGATGATCGTCTCGTTGGCCGACACCATATACTCGGGGGTCGTCAGCCCGTGCCCGATAGCCGGGAACGCCGACCCCTGGCCCCGCACCCCGTGCGGCGGGAACTTCGAGGAGGCGACGACCTGCCGCGCCTCCTCAGCGGTGTTGATCTGCGGCACCATGATGCCGTGCGTGCCGGTGTCCAGCGCCCGCTTGAGGATGTCGTGCGCCGGACCCCGCACCCGGATGATCGGGGATACCCCCAGCGCGGAGATGGCGGCGACGCTGTTGTGCATCGCGTCGTCGGAGATGTGGCCGTGTTCGCAGTCGATGATGATCCCGTCGACTCCTGTCAGGGCGACGACCTGCGCCATGCGGACGGAGGGGAGCGCCATGAAGGTCATCACGGGGTAGTCCGCGGTGCGTAGTTTGTTGAGCAGGCGGAGCCGCGGGTTTTGGATCGTGGTGGTTTGGGCTGTGGGGGGCGATTTTTGGGTCATTTTGGTGGTGGTTGTGGTGGGTCTAGGGGTATTGGGGTAAAGAGAGGGGCGGTTGGTTGAGGAGTGTATTGATTGATTGATTGTTTAAGTTTGAGGGTGAGTGTGAGTGACAATGAGAAGGATTATGGTCAATCACGGCTGGGGTTAAATATCCAGGGACGCAGGGGGGTTCAGGTGGGCAGTGTTGGGGTGGATCTTCGGGTAGTGCAGCTGCGCTTATCGGTGGGAGGAGCTCCGCATTTTAGGGCATGGCAGATAAGGCGGGGGAGGAGGAGGAGGAGGAGGAGGAGCAGCACTCTTCTTCTTTCTCCTCCGCTCCTCCTCCCCTCCTCCCTTCTTATCTGCTATCTCCACACCACAACACAACTCACTGATACGGTCAATTGAGTGTGATCACTATCATGAATCCTCTCAATGGCTATGCATTGACTGACTGACATATAACTGCATCCATGCACAAGACAACACCAAAACAATGGCAGCCCCTCCCTCCCCAGCAGACACGTACAAACCCCCAGCCGCAGCTTCAACCCCCAACATGGATGCCCACAAACCCCCACCATCCATCACGGACAAAGCCTCCTGCCACGAAGGTCAAGTCTCGCAGTACGATGAGCGCATGCCCGAGTCCCTCCGCAACCTCAGCGAGGAGGAGCTGCGCGACCTGCAGCGCCGACTCGTCCGCAAGGTCGACCTCCTGGTGCTACCCACCATCGGCATCCTCTACATCCTCAACTACATCGACCGGCAGAACCTGGCCTCAGCCAAGCTGCAAGGCATCACCGACGACCTGCACATGAGCTCGGAGCAGTTTGCCACTGCCGTCTCCATCCTGTTCGTCGGGTACCTCCCATTCCAGGTGCCCAGCAACATCCTGATCACGCGCATCTCACGGCCTGGGCTGTACATCTGCGTCGCCGTAGCCATCTGGGGATGCATCTCCGCCGCCACGGCCGCAGTCAAGAATTACGGACAACTCCTCGCGGTGCGGGCAATCCTGGGCATCGCCGAGGCCGTCTTCTTCCCCGGGGCCATCTACTACCTGTCAGCCTGGTACACCAAGATCGAACTGGGCAAGCGCATCGCGGGGCTCTACATCGCGCAGCAGGTCGGCAACGCGTTCGGGGGCCTCTTCGCAGCCGCCATCCTGCAGCTGGACGGGGTCCACAACATTGCCGGGTGGCAGTGGCTCTTCATCATCGAGGGCAGCGCGACCGTGGGCATCGGGCTACTGTGTGGGCTGATCATGCCGGAATTCCCGCACAACAGCCGGCTCCTCTCACCCTTGCAGCGCGATCTGGCCGTGTGGCGGATCGAGTCCGAAGCCGGCGCGGCGGAGGGCAACACGACCACCGAAAAAGAAAACCCACTCCAAGGCTTCCTGCACGCGCTATCCGACCCGAAACTCATCCTACTCATCCTCGCCAACATGCTCTCGCAGACCCAGGGCTCCATCGCCAACTACTTTCCGACTCTCGTCTCCTCCCTCAATTTCTCCGAGACGGTCAGCCTGCTCCTGACGGCGCCGCCGTACATCCTGGCGGGCGCCGTCTACTACGGGATCATGTTCTACTCCGACCGGCGGAACACCGTCTACCCGCTGATCCTGGGGTGCATTGGTATTGCTATCGGGATGTACGTGATCCTGCTGGCGACGCTGAACATCGGCGCCCGCTACTTCGCCATGATGATCCTGCCGTTCGCCTCCGTCGGCCCCCAGCTCCTCCTCTACAAGACCATCAACCTGCACCTGGCGCGGCCGGTGGCCAAGCGCGCCGCGGCGTCGGCGCTGGTCAACGCCATCGGCGGGACCTCGAATATCTGGGCCTCGTATCTGTATTACTCGTCACCGCATTTCTATGCTGCGTTCGGCACGCTGATGGGGGCGGCGGTGCTGCTGGCCGCGACGATGACGGCGTACCGGTGGTTGGTGCTGCGCGAGAATCGGCGGCTGGATTCCGGGGTGGACGAGGAGGTGCGCAAGGCGATGAAGGGGGGCGTCACGGAGGAGATGGTGCGCTTGGGGTGGCGGTATGAGATGTATTGACTTAGCTGTGCTGTGGGGCTTCGCTGTTGGGTAGGTTGGACAATGTGCGGTGTGTAAGGGCTGTATGTTCGCAAAGCATGTACAATTGAGCGCTTTGCAGCGATGGCCTCGTAGCCCTAGCGCTTCTAGGTGATCGATTTTGTGACGAGTACAGTATATGACATCCACACACAGCCTCTCTCTCTCCCCCCCCCCCCCTCTCTCTGCCCCATCTGCAAAGTCTTAACTCAATGTATAACCTAACCCCCCTTCTTTCGGGAGCGGAAGTAAATCATCCTACCAATACCCACAAAGTAACCCTCACAAAGCTACTCCAACTCCCACTCTACGCTATCAGCCCCTAAAACAATTGCACAACGTAGAACAAATCTATTCATCTATCTATCCAGAAAAAGCTCAAACCTGCGCAATACACTCAATCTCAATCACCGTCCCCTGCCCCGGCGCGACCGCCTGCAGACACGACCGCGAGGGCATCGGCGTCGGCAGGAACTCAATGTACGCCTCGTTCATCGCCGCAAAGTCCTTCATGTCCGCCAGGTAGACGTTGTACTTGACGACTTGCTCCAACGAGGAGCCGGCGAGCTCGAGGACTTCTTTGAGGTTCTGAAGGACGGTTCGCTGTTTTTGCCTTCCGTGTTAGACTGGTGTTCCTGTGGGTTGGGGAAGACGGGTCGATACTGACTGTGGCTTGCTTGATCTCGCCGGTGGCGGTTTGGCCGGCGCAGAAGACGAGGCCGGGGACTTTGACGGCTGGGCCTGTGGGGGGATTAGTTTCCCGTAGGTACCGGTATGGGCATGGTTGGGGGGGGAGACGCACAGTTGTGAGGCTTGGGGGGGAACTTCTCGCTGGAGATGAGTTGGCGGGACATTTTGGTTGGGATGGGATGGATTCCGGGGGATTGGTGGTTGTGGTTGTGGTTGTGGTTGTAGAAGATAGGGAGGAATGTGGCGTTGTGTGAAGTTCGATCTAGTTAGTTAGGGCATGGGGATTATCTAGTAGAGTTTATGGGGATTTAAATATCGAAGATTGGCGGCAGAGGTGGTGATGCTCCTCCCGGAGTGCCAAGCGGGAGGAGCTCCTCCCACCTGTGGAGAGCGCCCATTGCGATAGTCCTTATCAACGTCTTGGCGGGAGCTCTGCGGTTTGCTAGAGGAGCTCAAGATGAAAGGGCAGGGGGCTTACTGAGGAGCAGTTATCATTTTTCGTGATGCTGAGAGACAATGGTGGGCAAATGAATGGAATCTCGTATGACCACGGAGCACACCGTATACAGAATCCCGGCGTCCAACATCGCGCATATAAATGAACCCGTCGTAATCGAGTCAACACGTCTTCAAGCAGCACTGTGAAAGACATCTCACAGACTACAACCCCAATAAGACAATGGCACCCAGCGCCCCCTTCAACCCACCTTCGCCTACACTCGCAGGCAAACCCTTCGTGCCCAGCTGGACTCCTCCCCCCGTCACCAAGGAGAAGCACAACTTCGCCGAGCTGAAATCCATTGACCTGTCCCTGCTTGACTCGGAAGACCCGGCTGTCGTCAACGATCTGATTCAGCAGGTGAAAGTGGCCATCCGTGACGATGGCTTCCTGTTCCTCGAGAACTACGGCGTCTCTTTGGAGCAAGTAAGGCATTATCAGGGGACAACCCAGCCCTCAATCGAAGTTATGCTAACCACCCCCAGCTTCACCGCCAATTCGGCCTAGCACAATACCTCTACAACAACATCAGCGAAGAGGACAAGCAACGCCTGCTCTTCCACCCCGAGACCGGCGTCTGGTCCGGCTACAAGCACCCTTACGGCTTCAAAGTAGGTCCCCATCACCTCGACTCTTCCCCACCAGCAGATGAGAGAGAAAGATCGAAACCTCGAAGCTGACCACCATGCACAGCGCCACCGCGGCCCCGCCGACGGCATCGAGCAATTCAACTGGTACACACCGGAATGGGCCTCGCCCTCGACGCGCGTGCCGCAATGCCTGCAGCCCTTCATGGACGAGATCGAAGCCTTCTGCACCTACCTCACGCAGTCCGTCAACCGCCGCCTCCTCACCCTGTTCTCGCGCGTCCTCGAGCTCCCCGACGACTACCTCTGGGAGAAGGTGCAGTCGCACGGCAGCCCCACGGGCGAAGGCTACTTCCGGCACGCGCTATTCCGGCCCGTGCAGAAGGAGACCCGCGACGCCTCCAAGGGGATCAAGATGCACGGCCACACGGACTTCGGGCTGACCACCCTCCTCTTCAGCGTGCCCATCTCGTGTCTGCAGATCTGGGGCCGCGACGAGCAGTGGTACTACGTGCCGTACCGGCCGGGCGCCCTGGTGGTCAACATCGGCGATACCCTGGAGATTGTCTCGGGCGGGCACTTCAAGGCGACGCGGCATCGCGTGTTCACCCCGCCCGCAGATCAGCTGGAGGAGGAGCGGTTGTCGTTGGTGCTGTTTAATAGTTCGGTGGGGAATTTGAGGATGGGGCCTGCTTTGGGTGAGTTTTTTTCCATTCGGTTCTGAACCGGGGAGTGGGGGTAAAGTGAGCATGAAGCTAACGGCTTGTGCAGAATCACCTCTCATTCAGAGAGAGGGCTGCGTCGAAGAGCAGGGCGTCTACAGGGAGTTCCGCAACCTCACGGCGCAGGGGAAACTGGTCCCCACCAATCGCGAGTGGCGCGAGATTCAGATCGCCACGTGTACAGATCCCACGGACTCGGTGCGGAACTCGGTGGGCGCGGATCAGGTGCTGATCGAGGGGAAGATTATGCATCAGCGCGAGTATATGGGGGTCAAGGTGGTTTTGCCGGTATGAAGGGTGGGACGAAAGGGTGTTGTTGGGTAGGAAGTGGGAGAGGGGATTTTCACGGTGGAATCAAAGGCTTATTGTGGCTGTTTCTTGTACTTTTCAGAATGTCACTTGCGTGTTAGAATTATGGAATACGTTTCAATTCAGTTCTGTGCGCACTAACGAAGCTGGGACAGCTGAATATGTCGGGTTGATCTCATGGAAACTGAGTATAGCGGATTACTGTCTCGCTTTCCTGATACAATAGTACACCTTCCTGGTCAGCAAATATACAACCTACTGAAAGCTCCTTGGTGATTCAAGGCCAAAGTATATGCTTCATGGATTACATGACTATACCTAGGTACAACGGAAGCCTTCATATGTCAGATATTCTGAAAAGAGCTGCTTGTTGAGCCACTATTCAATGTTCAGCAAATGTCGAGATTTTGTGCTGATTTACAACTTAGCTAGACATGGGGGGTAATATCCCCCCGACTCTGGCCCTAACTCACAGTCTCACGTATACCAACCCGATCAACATCAAAAGCTCGTGAAAACATACTCCATCTTCTTTCCTCACAATCACAGTTCATACACCATCCCTAATTGACAGTCTAAACAAGAGCTGGGTCACTTCAACCCCCCCGCCACCAACAAGCTCTGCCCCGTCATGTACCCCGTCATCACCAACATCATGACCACATTAGCCACCTCCTCCGGCTTCCCCAGCCTCCCCACCGGAATGCCCTCGACCACCTCGCGGGGGATCGCCTCCGCACTGGCCACCATCCCCGTCTCCCCGATCATCGCCGGCGCCACGTCATTCACGCTGATATTGTACTCGGCCAACCGCGTCGCCAGATTCATCATCATCCCCGTCAGACCCCCTTTTGAAGCGGCGTAATCTATCCCCTCCTCATCAGCATTCACTCAACCCAAACAAGATAGTACGCAGACTCAGCATTCCAGATAGAGGCGAAAGACATACGACACCCATTAATCCCCCCACCTCTTGCCGCAATCGACGACATGAACACGATTCGTCCCCACCGTTGAGCCTTCATATGCTCGATCACCCCCTTGACCAGCACAAACGACGCCCGCAGGTTGACGGTCAACATGCGGTCGAACTCGTCCAGCGGGATGTCCCACACATTGGGGATGCGGCGGCCGTACCCGGCGTTCGAAATCAGGATGTCCGGGCGCTGGCCGTGATACTCCTCAATCTCCGTGAAGAGGTGGTCGAGTTGCTCGGGACTGCTCACGTCGACTTGGTGGGTGGAGATGCGCAGGGGGATTGCGGTCGAGGTGGAGTGGAGGGCGGCGACGAGTTGGTCGATGGCGGCTCGGTTGGTGGAGAAGGTCAGCGCGAGGTGGACCCCGCTCTGGGCGAGGCGGCGGGCGCAGGCGCTTCCGATGCTTTGGAAGGGTAAGATGGTTGGTATTGGGATTGGATTTGGGGTTTGTGCTGGGGGGCCTACCCTCCTGATGCGCCGGTGATGAGGGCGAGCTTGCCTGTGATTTCGTTGAGGGACATTTTGGTTTGGGGGCGGGATTGGTTGTAGTGATGCAATTTTGAAGGTGCGAAGGTCTTCAGTGAGATATAATGGGATTTTATCATCGACCTGGTGTATGCTTTACCTGTGAAGGCTTTGATTGTAGTGTCTTGCTGCTGTATTTCGTGCCAAGAATCTACCGAAAGATAGCAAGAGCTCCTCCCAGGGAGCTCCTCCCGCTGTCTCCAGCTGCCCATGGTGGTTTTACAACCCACTCGAATAAACTATCCTATCTTCTTTAGCTCGTAGTCAATATGATATTCTCATTCAGCGATGTCACATGACTTTCTGAATCTCGAGATAATCATCGGCAGGGATAAATGCCCTATTAGAGCACACGTTCGCATCCTTAAGGAAGGAAACAACATACACGATGGAGTCCCACCAATATTTAGCTTTTTTTACGACCCTTATATACACTAGAACACATCTGTCCCAGGATACCTATTCCCTTTCAAAATTCTCGCATAACTAGCTAGCCCCCAAGACACTAATCAACCACCACCACATCATCTCCGGTAACCGAACAATTGAACGGCAAATCCAGCGTCGGCCGCGTGTTCCCGGTCATCAACGACGTACTGTAGTTATAGGTCGGACTCAGCATCATAATCTGGCCCACGGTCGTGCCATACTCATCCGCCAGGTCCTTGTACACGCCGTACTCCAGCGTGAACGGCTTGATGCTGCACTGGCTGGGCTCGCACAGGGGCACCTTGATGAACTGCCCGACCTCCAGCAGGGCGTCGGCTGACGAGGCCTCGGCAGTGGAGGTGGAGGTGTTGTCCATCAACGCCGCGGTGGAGATGTTCAGCCGCCGCGCGATGATGTCGTAGGTGTCGCCGTGGACGGTGTAGTAGAGGCGCGGACCGCCGTTAATGCACAGCGCCGTGCGTGTGATGTTGGGGATCAGACAGGATTCGTTGTCCGGGGGGGAGGAGGCGCAGCTCAGGGGTGGGATGACGATGGTCTGCCCGATGTTGGGCGGGATGAGAGGGTCGGCCATCAGGTTGTGGCGTGCGATGTCGCAGAGGCTGCGGTTGGTGCGCGCGGCGATCTCGGGGATTGTGATGTTGGTGGTCACCGGGTAGAGGGTGTAGGGGTTCGTGCTGTTGGCGCAGTTAGGGCTAGGGGTGGCGGTTGTTGTTGCACCCAGGGAGAGGAGGGTGGTGAGGAGGGTCACGGAGGTGGATGGGAGAGAACGCATTGTGTTTACTTGGTTTGGGGTTATGTGAAGAAAGGATTGTGGCTTGTAGAGAGAAGAGAAGAGGAGGCTTGAGACGAGCTGCTGCTGCTGCTGCTAGAGGATCAACAGGAACAGAAGGGCCAATTTATACCCCGGCATCAACCTACTCAAATACATGTTTTCTCCCCTGTTAGTGGAGACGCAGAGCTGACGAATCCTCCTCCCTAATTCGACGATCGACAGGAACGGTCTGCAACCCAGGCCTCAAGAGCTTGATACCCCTCACCCTTAGCGCACTTGGCATTGTCAAGTCTCTACCTTGATAGTCCACTTCATTCGAGTGATCTGCATATCCAGCCTGGTTCATCTCGGCCTTAACTTGCGGGGAGGGTTCCCGTCTAAACCCTTTGGAGCTATTATCGCCGAGCTTGACTTTCTGCAAGCCGCAACAGGGACGGAGGGTGGACCTGAGCTCCATACCATGAACCGAGGTCTGGCGTCTGGCTTCCTCGTTGCGGTGCTCCGGCGGTACTCACAATGCGCATTCGTAACCCCTGGGATGCAAGTGACGGTGATTGGCTCTTTGTGCGCCCGTGCGCGGTGAATGCTCACGGAACGCTTAGACTGCTACGTAGGTAGCTGGGCACATGAGCTTTTGATCAGTAACCAGCGGAGGAACTAGCTTCAAACCTGAGAGGAGAGTTGATTTCCACAGCAAAGAAAGGGATGCACCAACGAAACACTCCCCAAATTGGAGGCGATGATTGGCGACTGGAAGACCCCTCTCCCTCCGAATTGCGGAGCCCCGAGGCCAGAGATAACGGAAGATCCATCTTCCGCGACTCCGCTGTCGGAGGAACAGAATGGCTCCAACCCCGCTTGTTGCTGCTGCTGCATGCATCACGCATCCCAAACCATAACCCAGTCAGCCATACCTAGGTAGCCAGCCAATTGCAGTTCCAAAATAACATCCACGACCCTGGCAAACTATATCCCTTCGCATTGGTCGATTCATCTCATCACCGTCTCGCCATAAGTGCTACAGCCAAACACAGAGCAAACATGGCCACACCACCCACCACCGTGCTCCCAATCGACCTCATGGAGATGCAACTGTCGACCATCGACCTCCTCACAGCGATGTACGCCTCGCCCGAGGAACTCGAGATCCCCCCAGCCTCAGCCGAGTGCCTGGAGAAGCTGCGCGCCTGGTGCGAGGACCCCAACCCCAGCCATGCACCACCACCCTCCGGCATCCCATCCAGCATCTCACTCTACGTCTCGCTGCCCCTGGCAGACAGCGACAAGCGCTTCCAAGTCAACCTGACGATCCCGCTGCACTGCGCCGCTCAGCCCGATCCAAAACCGGACCACCAACCCCCACCACCGACCTACTCGCTGCGCCCAGACTGGCTGTCCAAAGCCGAGGTCGCCAAGCTGGCAGCATCCATGCCCGCCGACGCAGACGTGTTCGAGGCACTAACCTACATCCAGGAAGCGGCCGTGCGGCTCCTAGCCGAGGCCGAGGCCCAGCAAGACGCCTCCTGCTCGACCAAGTCCGAGTCCGTCGCGGCCACAGCCCGCGGCCCGCTGGTGCGCGTCTGGTTCTACTTCCCGTCGCTGTCGACGCGCGCGAAGCGCGACGACCTCGTGAACCATGCGCCCGAGTACGCGCTGACGGGGTTCGTGCTCGCGGGCAAACCGGGGGTGCTGTGTCTTGAGGGCGCGTCGGCGGATATCGATGCGTACATGAAGTTCATCAAGACGCACTCGTGGGGCGATATCCCTAGCCACCAGAAGAAGGTCAGCGAGCGGTTCCGCGAGACCGGCGCGGCGGTGCGGCGCGTGTTTGTGGGGATGGAGGAGATCACAGACTCGTTGGGGGAGCGCAGCGGGCAGCGGGCGAATCGTGGGGATATGCAGGCGCTTGAGCAGTGGCTTCATGCTAGGGGGCTGGGGGACGCGTTTGAGAAGGTCATCTTCTGAGTGGGTGGCGGTGGTGTGTGCTGGTACGTACTGTTGAGGGGAAAGCAATGGCTCGGGCTACGCTCGGTCGGCCTCGGGCTTTGTTTTGACTCGGGGCAGAGAAAGGCTGAGTACAAGCCATTTATCACGGTCGCAGGTTGCGAGCTTCTAGCCCGGGGCTGCCGTGATGTCACTTTCGGTTTCCTTTGAGGTCGTTTGTCACCACAGGGTGATGTGCATTCTTTGCATGGGTAAGGAACATCGGGAGTGGGGTGAGCCGTGGTATGCTGTCCGTGCTGCAGGGAAAATGCAACCCTGGTGATCCCAGCTCCAGGCAATGGTTGGTGAATCCGACCGCAGCTCCCCGCCCTTTATGCCCTGCGCTTGAGCAGATGTCAATATAAAGGGCCTCTGTTGTGAGCAGCGGCATTGGCTTGGATGATGACACGCATCTGTGGCTTAATTCGTTTAAGTCTTTTGTTAAGGGTCAGACCATTAGAGCATATCACAACCATACAACAGATGGTTACTCGAACGAGTATCATATAGACACGATGAAACAGACAGACACAAATCCACTCGTGCATATTGGCATGCTTGTGAAGAAGAAATATCTCCGGTCCTGAATGTTATAAACAATCCAAACTCGCTTGTCAAAGAAAAAAAAGAACCGCAACGCCCTTGTCATAATCCCAAGCTGGTACGCTTGTTGAGACACCGAGCGGAAACGCGTTAAATCATGTACACAATGCGTGGCGATCATCAAAAGGCAAAGACGGCCGATGGTCTAGCGGCAGAGGAACTCTACAGTGGAGAAGTCAGCACTGCTGTCGTTGAGACCCACTTTTCAGACCCCCATGCTTGGCAGATAGGGACCCTGTCCAGCCCACCCGAACAGGCTGAGTTCGTCGATCATGTGCTGCACGATCACGTTACTCTCCATGCCCACCATCATATCCGTCTCGAACCCCGTGGGCAGGCCGCCAGGGATCGGAGGCGACTGCCATTGATCTGGGGCCTGGTACTGTTGAGAGAGCGGCATCATCGGTCCAGGGGGGCAGTGCATCGGGGGCGGCAGCGCCATGAGGCTGGGTGGTTCGGACGTGGCGACAGCCGGAGTGGGCAGCATGGGCCGCGGGGTCTCGTTGCTGGTCTTCTCCAGCCAGCTCAGAAGCTTGGCAATGGCCTTCTTGCAGCCCGCCCACAGATCGTCCCCGAGCGAGAACCCTTCGATCTTGTGGACCGTGGCGAGTACCACCTCGTGCACGCTACGCGTGCCGAGATCCGTCGGCAGCTGGCTGTAGATGCCAAAGGACAAGCCCAGCTTGCACAGCAGGACGATGGCGTACCAGCAGGTCGTGTAGGACGAGATTGGCAGGTGGACTGCCACGGGGGATGGGGTCGCGAGGAAGGTGGCCGCCACGCGGTGGGCGGACGTGGCGAGCGCCTGCAGCTGGTTGATGTCGCGCAGGTAGAACGCGTCCTTCTGCCGGCGTAGGAAGTGCCCGAAAATGAGGGTGGGGAAGGCGTCGAGCTCCATGCGCAAGGCCCCTGGGTTGGTTAGAATGCAGGAATCCTCACTCAGATGCACGAACGATGCTCACAATTATCCTGTAAATTATGACGCGATTTCAGTTCATCGACCTCTTTCTGGTTTCTCGCCACCGCCTCGAGGATCTGTTCCCAGGTCGCGTCTCGGCATTGGTCGGTGCAGTAGTTCAGCTCATCGCCTAGCAGCGTGTGAGACTTGCGCATCAGTGGCTGGGTTTCTATCAGTGCTCTCAGCAGCGCGTCGCTGGGATATTCGGGATTCTCCGTGAGGTTCTTCACGCAGGTATCGATGCACATGGTATGTCGCATGTTCATATGTCGGCGGAACATCGAAGATCTAATACGGGGTCAGCTTCGGCTGGTCGCAGGGGTATTGGTCTCAAGCGCCACGCACTTGTGGGTCAGATAGTAGCAGCCCAGAAGAGCTCGTTGAGCCGCCGGCGTCTTGTGTAACTGCTCCTTCCGAGGTTCACTTATCTGTCCCGACTGCAGTTGCATCTTGACCGTCTCATCCTGATCCAGACCGAGGTCGTAGACAAGCATCGGCAACACTTGGAGGAGCAGGTACTGATGCGCATGCATGCTCTTCCAGTGGTAATGGTACCACGCTGAATGCACCAGTAGTCCCTGCAGCAGGTCCATGCTTCGCTCGCTGTTGACGAAGACCCGAGTCGCGACCGTCTGTCTGATCATGCCTTCCAGCTTTAGCTGTAAGGAGTTATTGTGCTCCAAGGAAGCCCAGACGATACATGTCAGCAGGAACGGGTACTGATCACGCAGTGAGGCAATGTCCATGTCTGAAGGTATGATGACAAAAGGGAAGTGGTGCATCTTCTGGGCCCGAAATTTGGCCAGGAGCTCGTCGGCCTCCTCGAGAGTGAGCAGGTGACCGAAAAGTGGGTCGCCTTCGCTCTCACTGCGGGCGAGTCGCGACGGTGAATCCTTCTGGTACGTATCGGGCGAGTCGTTTGTGTTGGTCACGCTGGCGGTTCGCGACGGGGTCTGACAGTTGGCAGCTTGCTATGAGACTCTCCATCAATACCTTCCCGAACGATCAGATGGACTCGAGAAGCATACCTTGCTGGCAAGTTGGGTGACTAGATTATCGATCTGTTCCTGCAAGGCATCGATGCGTGTTTTTCTGGAACAAATCAGTCAATGAGGGGACAGTCCATGGTGAGACGGGGGTGGTGCGCAAGGGAGATAGTACCTGGGCCGACTACTCGCGCGTAAGCTATCGGGGAGACTGCATGACTGGCCCAGTCTAGTGCAGCGGACGCAAGTGCCAGTGCCTTCGACAGGCTGACATCGCACTTTGAGTCGAACACAGCGGACGCAAGCATGGCGTCTCGGGGGTTGTCTCCGATTCATGTTTGATTATCCAGAGCGGAGTAGTGTTTGTGGTCTTGTCCGGGGGGGTGCGGGAGGGTGAAGAATGGATTCTTCAGGCTGGACAAGCGGGCCCGGGAGCGAACCGTGCAGTTTGAAGTGTCACTGCAGCTGCTGTGGGGAGTAGTATGCAAATAGCCGTTAGAGTAATAGAAAAACAGAAAGAGAGAAAGACTATTAGTGGGAGATTAGTTGGATTAGTGAGTGAGTGAGTGAGTGAGTGCGAAGTGGATGATGGAGTCGTATTCGATGCTGAATGCTGACCGTCCATCCCCGACTAGTTCAGTCACATGGTTTGCAGTGCTAATCCTCTTTGAATCATCCTGCAGAAACTCCGCCTCCCGCCGCTTTTGCCTCTGCAACCAACATCGTCATAGATCCCCGTACTACGGGCTAGGGTAGATCCCAGGGTCTCAGGGTCTGTAGGGCTGGCAGAATTCCAATGTCTGATTGGCTGCATACTTCAAGGGCATTGTATTCAAGGTAATCTTCAGGAAAGGATAGTGAGTTGAGGAAAGTACGATGTATGTAGTTAGTTAAATAGTGCGGTAGTGCCCCTGTTGAATCGGAGTCGGAGAGTCGGAGACGGAGTGCCCGAGGTCGGCCGCCAGTCAGCCTTGGAGCGGGGTAAGAGTCGTGCCATGGGTTGATGGTTCCCACGCTCACTCACCACGTTTTTGACTCCCCCATCCACGTCCGAGACCGGGCCTAGACTTGGCACTAACTACAGAATTGCAGAACCACTCCATGCAGTGCAGTGCACTAGACACTAGACACTAGAACACTCTTTCTGCAGACAGCTTGATTTGCACAGGGATCTGGTCTATCTGAAAGACGCCAAGTCCTCACGGTCGCATTGTGGCAACTTTCCACTTTGGTCAACTTCAGGCAAGGGAGAATTAAAGTATATGTCCACGGTGGCATGCAATGGTAAACAACAGAGGGCGGGCGAGAATGGTACAAATGGACAATCAGACAACGAGAGTGTGTCAAAAGCAGACACGAGTCTCGTTCGGGACGGATATCGCCGGAACCGGACCAAGCAAAAAAAGGAATCTCCCCGACTGGGAGTCGAACCCAGGTCTCCCGCGCTTGTTCCTTTTCAGGATTGACAAGCGGAAATCATGACCGTTAGACCATCGAGGATATGGTATGCAGATTTGCTACTTCTTGAAGATACTGTCTTGAAAATTTGCAGGGATCTATTTTGCCACGCTTGCTTCAGGCCATAAAATTCTTGAGACTTGACTGTTTTATTTGCCTGTCTCTCAAAAGATTGAAGATTTGTATGCTTAGTAGCTGAAAAAATGACATTGCTTTCACAAGGATGCATGGAGTTGAGCTAGCTCGTGTCAGCCCCCGCTCCCGTAACGATGTATATTTATGTCCATGCTGCTTGCCATGAGGATCACCGGGTCTCAGAATCAGAACAATTGCGCGGAAGACCTTACAACGGAACTAGAATTGGAATGAGAAAGGGACTACCCCATTGGAAGAGACTTAAAACACCTTCAAAGAGACTGACGTCGCTTCTGCTGACATGGACGGAGGATAGTCAAGATGCCGACATGACAGTCGGCTACCCGACAGTAGACCGATCGCCACAAGGCCCTCAAGAACATTGATAAGAACCACAGTTTCACAACAAATGATGCCACCAAAACTCGTAAACCCAAGTATAAACTCACACTTGTATCAAGAGAGCCACAACGCATTGGCTGCAAAACGTCTCGCACAACGGACAACGTACAGCGCACCCCGTACCCTCACCCCCTCAGCGCAACGTCCCCAAGCAACATGGGAAGACAATACCTCGACCTCCCCATTGCACCCCCAGACGTCGCATTTGGCCTCATGGCCAAGTACGATACCGACGCGCACCCGAACAAAGTCTCCCTGATCGCCGGAGCCTACCGCGACGAGAATGGTTCACCATGGGTCCTCCCCAGTGTCGAGCGGGTGAGCGCATAACCCCCAGAACACCTCCAAAGAATACAACCCTACATCTACATATCTACAGCACAATGCACTGTCCCTTAAACTTCACGACTAATCAACTCTACATTCTACCCCCACACAGG